CGATGACTAGCTGCCTTCCCTCTAGTCTTACACTGCTAAATTAGGGACGGCTAGCGCAGATAGCCCTCGTGTAGCTTTGCGCGAAATTCAAAACAAACAAACAATTAAAGCTTCTAATTGATAAAATACATTTAGCTGTAGTTAAGAATGAAAACAAATAACATGGGGATTAACTGAATATTTTGTATTTTTCAACATGTAATTATTATTAAACGTGGATATTTTTCAGTATTTTATGTTTTTGAGACATTCTCTTTAAATTCATTTTCCTAATTCACAGCCCACGATCAAAATAATTGCGTTATGAAGGCCAAACATGAAGCCACGAAAATCAATTAGTGAGTTATCTTAATAAGTAGCCCCCCCCCCCCCCGTGGCACAGCGATATATGTCTGTAGACTTACAACGCTATAAAACCGAGTTTCAATACCCGTGGTGGGCAGAGCACAAATATCCAACTGTGCAGCTTTGTGCTTAACTACAAGCAAACAAACTTAATAAGTATAAACAAAGCCAATATAATCTTATCATTTATTGGCAAATTTTGAAATATTTTGTTGTACAAAGTAGAGACAGAGACCGTCATCCCAAGCTAATAGGTTATACATATTGATGTTATAACTTAGAATCGTTTATAAGCTGTAATTGGTCAATCAGTGACTAAGGTTTTTGATCACTGTGAGTTTTTGGCTGAAGTTAGCTTTCAAGCGATCAGAGGACTAGATGATTAATCTGGGTGCTATTTGATCGTTCTGAACAAGAACAGCGAGTTTTTATATTCATACAAATATACCATCAATCCTGGGTTATCAGGTTCATTCATTGAATCTCATGAATAATACCTTGTTTCTAAGGAAATTCCATTTCATAATGGTATATCCATATAATTTGCTTTGAGTTTCATCTTGAGACTTTTTCTCTCTTATAAGTTTAGTTTGTTTAAAGTGCTATTTATTTGGTTCTGTAGTAGTCGAGTTCGGTTATTTTCTTGACCTTGTTAAACGCTTTTATATGCAACTTTTTATTTTAAAACCAGACTACTTAACTGTCGATTCAGTTAGGCTCTTGCTTTTCCATTTTTAGTTTTATTTACTTACACAGAATTCCACACACATTTATAAGTCCTAACTTGATTTGTTCTATTTTCAGACACCTCATTGTTGCTTCTGACACTATCTAGAACTCTAGTTGCCTTTCTTTAGACCTAAAGTTTGTTAACCATTCTTAGAGTCGATATCTCAAAACCCGGCTTATAAATACCATTTAAGTTCAAAATACAGGAAGTATAAGATCAACTTTTGAATTTCGAGACAAAGGAGGATGAAGATATATTATTCCTGGTGATGCAACATTCGATATATCTTAAGACAGAGAAATCAAAGAAATGTTGTTTAATTCAACCTGATTCCTTCAATAATAACTTATTTGTCGAATTTCGTATATAAACCTGGGCTAGACATCTCTTATTTTCAAGAGATAGACAACAGGGAAGTCAGTTACTCAACACCATTCACCACCAATTCTTGGATTACTGTTGTCAGACCGAATGGTGGAATGTGATCGTCACTCTTATAACACATCCACAGCCCCAAAGTGCGGAACACATTTTTTTTTTGGTAGAAACGGGGCGCTAACCATATAACCTAGATCTACAGTCCGATATGTTAACAACTGGGCCTTGCTCGACCTCATAATAGGAAAAAAAAATGTGTTTGGTCATAAAATACGTCTGCAACACCTTAACCATTTGTTTGTGATTAGGATAAATACATGAATAGTCGTTTTACTACTCTTTTAAATGGTACACCTTAGTTTTCAGTTTAATTTATTCTTATACTTAAAAAAATCCACGTTAAAGAGAAGGAGAGAAAAAGAGTGTGCATTAGCAACGATAGGTTAAAAATATCTATAAAAGTATAGCTTATACCTTGGCCACCCAGTGGCTAAGCGACAAATCTGAGGACTTAAAACACTAAAAATTGGGTTTCAATACTCGCGATGGGCATAACATGGCACATTATGTTGCTTCTGCTTCACAACAGACAAACGAGCTTAACCCTTGTAGCATGAGATTTGTTTTCTTTCTCTACAAGGATAACGTAGTTCTTTTTTCCTTTTTCCGTTATCAGAATGTGACCCAAGCGGGTTTTAATTGTATAAACCAATATGTTAAATATACATAATATATTAATTGATTATATTAATTAAGGTCACTGAGTACCTGAGTTTATCAATAAGTAACCAATACAGGTATATCTTTTTCAAAAGTAAAATGTTAGCTTGAGAAAACTACTTCGAAAAATAATTTTAAGTAAAATTAAGCTTAATTTCGATATTTT